GAAAGGGGACTTAGTGATGAAAAACTGAAGGACTTTTTTCTGATGAGGCACAGAACAAGAGTGTTCATTCTCACCATTGGTTTTCAACAGTGCATTCGAAGTCCTAGTCACAGAAATTAGGGGAAATGGTAAATTTAAAGAATTCAAATTGATAAAAGAAGTAAAACTATCAGTAATTGTAGATGACATGCATGCTATACATTAAAAACTCTAAAGGCTCCACCTAAAATTTCCTAGAAACAGTAGACATATACAGAAAATAGGCTACAAAATCAATACACTGAAAGCTCTTAAATTTCTACATGCAAGCATTGAAGTAAAGGAAAAATATGAAAAATCCCATTTACCATTGTGAGGTCATGTGAACTGTCATACACTTGGATGGAAATGCAAGATATTACCTTGGAAGACTGTTTCATAGTTTCTTAAACATATGCTTATCATATAGTACATTAATTGTACTCATTGTTTGCCAAATATAGTTAAAAAACAAACATGCTTATGTCAATATTTATAGCATTATTCATGATTGTTAAACTCCATAAACAAACTTACACCTACACAAGACAGGATAGGTGTGATATAACTGTTCAATGGGATATGTATATATCCCACTTATATACACAATGGGATATTGTGTATATCACTAGTTCATTTCGATATATTTCTAATAAAATGAGGTGAACTAGTGTTATACACAACATCATTATGAAACACCTATGTAGTTTATTTCACAAGCTGGGTGAAAGAAATCAGACTTGCAAGGCAAGTGTCTTACCCATTGTACTATCTCTGGCCCCAACACCCTACAGTGTTTCAAAGACTTCCTGCCATGGGGATCCATCAAGTTCATCAGGTGCACCCTCCAGAGCTATGCGTAGCAGCATTTGTACTTGGGAGACAATCATTCTAAAGCCTTATGATGACCGTGCCTGGGACTAGTTCTGCCATCTCCAGAAGAGTGACAGCACTTACTTGCTTTTTATACTCCCACGGATTTGGGAGACTCAGATCCTACCCTTTTCGGTTCTATTACAATTAGCATCATTAAATTTTTTTTGTGGGGGGCGGGAACATCTAGCTGTGCTCAGGGATCACTTCTAGGGGTGCTTGGATCATATGTGATGCCTGAGTCAGTCACATGCAAGGCAGGTGCCTTCAGCCCTCTACTTTTCAGCATTTTTTTCAAATCCCTTTACTTTTTTTTCCATAAAGTGCAACGTAGTTAAGGACATTGGCCACAGAAAGGAATTATGATTCAATTTTTTAAAAAAGTTTATTAATTGCAGATTGTGAGAAGTTGGAGAAAATCTGGGAAACATACTATATACAGACTATAATACCGGATTGAAAAACACAGTACCCAAAAGAAGAGAGAGAGAACAAGGGGGAATGCCCTGCCACAGAAGCAGGGTGGGACTGGGGGGGGGGATGGGGGGTGGGAGGGATGCTGGGCTGGGACCCCTGGTGGTGGAGGATGGGCACTGGTGGAGGGATGGGTACTTGATCATTGTATAACTGAAACCCAAGCACAAAAATTGATAAGTCTATAACTGTACCTCATGGTGTTTCACTAATAAAAAAACAAACAAACAAAAAAAAGAAATGAAAGTAGAGTTCAAACGTTATTTACATTAGAAAGGAAAGGAATTTCCAACTTTGAGAGCCCCAGGGCGATGGGAAGTTGAGAGTTGGTTGGCACATGGTTCATGGTACACATGCTGTAAAATGCCAGCACTTTGAGAAGGACATTTACATCCATTTTCATAAAGGTAAGTGGGGTCTTGTGGAGTGTCTTTGCCTTGCATCTGTATTGGTGTGAAGCTGGCTGTTAAGATGTGTTAAGAAGCAATACCTCCTTTTCCACTTTTGGAGGAAAAGTTGACCGGTATTGTTATTAGTTCTGTTTGTTCTTGATTTGGGGGATACACCCAGCCATGCTCTGGGCTTACTTCCGGGTCTGTGCTCCAACAAAGATTGCTCCTGGCAGGGCTTGGGAAACCACGTGGGGTGCATGCAAGGGACACCCCCCACCCACTGTACCCACTATCTCTGGGGCCTCTGTTACTAGTTCTGCATATGTTTGTTTATAAAATTCAACAATGAAGCCATTGGTCCAGGGCTTTTCTTTGTTGAGGTTTATTATTAAAGATTTGGTCCCATATTGGATATTTGGTCCCTTTTCAGATTTTCCCTTTTATTTCCTTATACTTTTGGGCTACTCTGTATGCTTTAGAGATATACGTGTAATAAATTAACCACCTAGGCATTATATTAATATATAAATATGTATTGATTAATATATTAATCATCTAAAAACAGTTAAAAAACCATCCAAGAAGCTTCCCCAGTTTCTGGATACTGCTAAGAGACTCAATTTCTCTCCAAGAAAATATAGGTGATAGATTCCTTGACATGATTTTGGATGAAAATCAAAATTGCAGTGGGAGCAGCAATAAACAGGTCTACATTAAACTAAAAGCCAGCATGGCAGAGAAGCCAACAAACTGAAATAACAAACTATGGAATAGGGAAGAATGTTTTCAAATATTTTATCTGATAGTTATTATCAGAAACACATGAGACATTCATACAGCTCACTGTATGAATCACAGTATCACTGTCCTCTGGTTGTTCGTCGATTTTGCTCGAGCGGGTCCAGTAATGTCTCCATTGTGAGACTTGTTGTTATTGTGTTTGGCATATCGAATACCTCACAAGTAGCTTGCCAGGCTTTGCCATGTGAGCCAGATACTCTCAGTAGCTTGCCAGGCTCTCTGAGAGGGGCGGAGGAACCGAACCCAAACCCTGTCAGTAAGATACAAAAGAACTCTTAGCAGAAATGAAAGCAATAGCATTACCAAAACTGACTTAAAAAGAAACAGAGTATCTCCACAGGTCTGTAACAAACAGATCCTATCAAAATTCAAAACTTCCAAAGTCCCTTACTGGTAAATTCTACTGAATGCTTGAAGAATCAGCAACAGTTACAATTAAAGTTCCCCAAATAATAGAAGGAAAACTTTGTAACACATTTTAAGAGAATTTTATCACCCAAATTTAAGAAAACTAGAGACCCAGGGACAGCTCAGTGGCCACCCCTTACAAGCATAATTGAGAGATCAATCCCTAGCACTGCCTTTAGTTCTCCAGTGCCAGAGTGTAGACTCTGCAATCAATGCACAACCCTGGTTATCACAGCATCAGCATGACCACCACACAGCGGGAAGGGCTGACACAACTGTTAGGAATACAGCTCAATATAAAAAAAAGAAAAAAAAAAGCAACCTAGGGAATATAAGAAAATATTTTCATATCTTATCAATATCAATATCTAATATCAAAAATATATAAAGCCCATACAGATCATTAGGGAAAAAACTGACTTAAGAATGAACTGAAGGAGGGGGCTGGAGCGATAGCACAGTGGGTAGGGCGTTTGTTTGCCTTGCACACGGCCAACCCGGGTTCGATTCCCAGCATCCCATATGGTCCCCTGAGCACTGCCAGGAGTAAGTCCTGAGTGCAGAGCCAGGAGTAACCCCTGTGCATTGCCGGGTGTGAACCAAAAAGAAAAAAAAAAAAGAATGAACTGAAGGAGCCACGCCCCCATCCCACAACTGACATCATGTAAACTCCTGGGCCCAGCCCTACAGATTCATGACTAATCAGGGTAGAGTTGCAAGCCTTGCTACTAAAATTTATGGGTGTACCGGTGTTTCAGCTGAAAACTCAGGCACGGGTGCCCTTGGGAGGGGGATAGCCAAGTCCTCAACCTGCCAAAGCCCCAGCAGCTGCACCCACAACCTACAGCTGTGGCTGTGCTAATGACCCAACAACACTGCTTCATGACTAACCTCTGCGTAGATATCAAACCAATGAAAATTTCAGGTTTTGAGACTGAAACCCTGACCAGCAGTCTCCCCCACAAGCCTGTACTTCCAGAAGCCCCAGCCCAGTTCTGTGTATCCTGGAATTCCTGGAGTACAGGACTGCATATGCCGCATGAGACCTCCAAATTCCATCCACACCACTTGACACACAGTAGAAACACACCCAATTCCACAGGAAAGTAACACAGAAGCCAGTGAAGATCAAGAAACAAGAACAGTAACACTGTTCAACCAGCAACAAACAGCTTAGTAAACCCTCAGACAAGGAATTCCTGACCTCATGGTAAGAAACAATTTTCCAAAATGATCTTTCACTGAAGTGGTTTTTGATAACTCCATTCGCCGTCTAACTATAACAACTAACGAAAACCTAAATTATTTTGTGCCTACGAAGGGGGCATGCTTGGGAGTGGGTGGGAAACTGGGACAACAGTGGAGGGAAGGTCACATTGGTTATGGGATTGGCGCTGGAACATTGAACTGTTATGTTATGTTCACAACTGTATTATGAACAACTTTTGTAAACCACAGCGTTTAAAGTAAAAGAAAAACAGACGGAAGGAGTCAGAGAGATAGTACAGCCAGTAAGGTGCTTGCCTTGTACACGGCTGATGTGGGTTTGATCCCTGGTGCCACACATGGTCCCCTGAGCACCCCAATATTCGTTGCATTTTATTCAAATATCCAACATTTGGAAGCAGTCAGTGTTCACTCACAGAAGAATGGATAAATATGCATAAACCTCCATGAAACTCCTATCAGAGGTCTTCCTGAGTCTTTTGCACAAGCTCCCAATTCTCTCCAGGGACCACATGTGAATGATTAGGTCATCGGGGGCTGGGACCTGCAGACATGTTCTGTCAGGATGCCGGTCCAAAAGGATCAAATATGTCACTAACTGATCACTAGGTTACCAATTCCAACTGACGCTCAGTTCCATTACTCACACCTCTGGACTGCGGAATCCTCTTCGCAGAGTTCATCCCTCAGACAGGGCCTCCCACTCTAACCTTTGCCCTTTCGGATTGCCCTGATCTCATCCCACCCTCCCGGGCTCTGTTTAAAGTCCAGCAGCCAGGGAACACACAGCTTGAGTGTTGCAGATAATCGCCTCCTGACGCTGTCTAACATCTGTGGGCCAGAGGGTGAGGTTTGAGGAGAGGCCTCAGACCCGATCTGGCGACAGCATGAAGCTGGCCTCGGGCTTCTTGGTTTTGTGTCTCAGCCTGGGGGCAGGCCGGGCTCAGGGCGACACCAGCCCTGAGGCAGAGGAGTCCTACTCTGATTGGGGGCTTCGGCACCTCCAGGGCAGCTTCGAATCAGTCACCAGCTACTTCGATTCCTTTCAGGAGCTGCTAGGAGGGAAAGATGGAGTCTGTCAGTACAGGTGCCGATATGGTGAGTGCCTGTTTCTCTTCCTGTCGATACTATCCTTGGGGGAAGGAGGGGCAGCATGGCTGGGACAGATGAAACAGGACCCCTGTCCCTGTTCACAGATGGGACAAACAATAATACAGGGCCCACCGTGATGTTTCAAGTGAACAGCAAATCATTTATTCGTGTATCCAGTATAATATTTGGGACACATGCTGACAGAGTTTTGGTTTCTATCTGACATACAAATTTCCCTGAACTTCCTGTATTTTATCTGACAAACCTATTCCATGGAGCTTTTTCTGTTTGTTTTGTTGTTGTTTCTGGGTCATAACTGGCAGTGCTCAGGGCTTACTCCTGGCTCTGTGCTCAGAGATCACTCATGGCAGTGCCTTGAGGACCGTATGGAGTGCGGGATTTGAACCCAGGTTGGCTGCAAGCAAGGCAATGCTCTGCCCTTTGTCAACTCTCTCTGGCCTCCGTGGAGCTTTCATTTTGTGGGGTTTTTTTTTTTGGGTGTGTGTGTGGGGGCGGGGAGGAAGGTTGAGGCCACACCTGCAGGTGCTCAGGGGCTACTCCAGCTCTGTACTCAGGAATTACTCATAGTGTTGCTCAGGGAACCATATGGTATGCCAGGGATTGAACCTGGGTCAGCTGCATGCAAAGCAGATGCATTTCCCACTGTACTATTGCTCCTGCCCCCGCCATGGAGCTTCTAATGACTGGTTGACTGTGGCTGTTTTCATGTGTTTGCTGTGAGGCAGGAACTTAGGAAAAGGCAGCACAGGGTGTGAAAAGAATGGGAGAGTTCTAGGGTCAGACCCCCTCAATCCCTGACACAACATATGGTCTCCCGAGCACCACCAGAAGTACCCCAGAGCCCGCAGCCAGGAGTAATCCCTGAGCCTCTCTAGGTATGGCCCCAAAAAGTCAAGAGGAACAAAAGAAAGAAAGAAAGAAAGAAAGAAAGAAAGAAAGAAAGAAAGAAAGAAAGAAAGAAAGAAAGAAAGAAAGGGATTAGAGAAAATTCTGCCAGGGGCTGAAAGAGAGTTCCCATTCCCACTGGGCTAGGCTTAGAAATGGGGTCTCCCTCCTCCCCATGCAGTGCTCACTTCCTAACCTCCACCTTCCAGTCATCCTTCTCTGAGATGGGCCACGAGCAGAGCAGCAGTTGGATTCTGGAGGTTTTTGGCTGCCGGGGCTCTGTTAGGGTGGGTGGTGGGCTCACCCACCTCCCTATGGGGCACTCCGGATGAGACTCAGCCTGGCGCGGGGTCTGGAGGCATCTCTGCAGCTTGTTGCTCTTTCCGGGATCTTATTTGTGAGTCTCTCCATCCTTCTCTGAGGCATCAGTTGGCGGTCCTGCTGTCACTGCCCCATCTGCAATGGCAGCCTTGGTGAGTAGGGAAGAGGCTAGTGGCCACCACAGGCTGTCCCTCCGTTCAGGCCTGGTGCCAGGTGTAGGAGTGGTGAGTGGGTACATGGAAACTGGGGGCCCAGCACTCTGGGGATGTCCATGTGCCAGTTTTTCCTTCACTCCACCTCAGAAGTCAAGCTAATGGGAGCAGAGAGCACGCATGGGCAGAATGGGGTGGGCAGTGAGGGGTTAGCGGTGACTACAAACGGGAGAGTGCTCTGACAACAGACCCAGATCCAGGCCACCACACTCTGATCACCTCATCAAATGCCTCATCATAGGGTTTAAGGCAAAACTGGGCAGTCTAGCTCAGCAGGAAAACACCTTGGACCTATTTTCTCCAAATGCTGCTCAGGGACGTCTCAGTGTCCAGAGGAACTTCAAAAAACCACATACTGGCTGGACTTAGTTCAAGTTCCTCTCACTTTCCCCTTGTAGCAGCAGAAATGGGCTAAGCTGTGAGGAGACAGTGAATAATCACGGCAGCCATTCTTCCAGACCAAGAGTCTCCCAGCAGGGAAATCAGCCTCCCTGGGGCACAGTGAGAAAAGGAAGCGCAACTTCTGTGCCTTCCTGTGGGGCTGCTGGGCCGGGGTGGGAAGGGCTAAGTACCTTCAGCTGCTTGAGCCTCCCAGGTGCTCTTTCCTTCCCAGAGTCACAGAAGACCTTTGCCTGGGGGTTAGTGTATAGATAACAGTAGAAATGGGGGTGGTGCAACACAGAGAGAGAGAGAGAGAGAGAGAGAGAGAGAGCAAGAAGGATTGCCCTGCCACAGAGGTGGGGTACAGTGGAGGGGACGGGGTAGGGGTGGTGGGAGGGATGCTGGGACCATTGGTAGTGGGAAATGGGCACTGGTGGAGGAATTGGGTACTCAATCGTTGTATGACTGAAACGCAAGCACGAAAGTTTGTAAGCCTGTAACTGTACCTCACAGTGATTCACTAATAATAAAAAAAAAAAGAAATGGAGGTGGTGGTGCTTAGGGTTATTCCTGGCTGTGCTGCAGGGATCCACAGAGGCAGAAAGGCAGCTGCGTCACCCCCTGTCTCTCCTGACTCATGGCAGGGACTCTGTGGGGCTCCCAAGAGATGTTCAGGAAGCCGGGCCCCAGTGGTAGTTCTCCACCAACCAAGTGTGCGGTTCAGAGTATGGGCCAAGGTCTGGATACTGCTTGGCCCTAAGGCTTGGGCCCTCCCTCCCCCACACCTCCACCCCAATGCTGTACCCAGCAGTGCTTGAGGGGATCCTAAGCACAGCACAGTCAGAGGGCAGGGCCGGTTGAGAAAAATAAGAACCGAACCTCCAACCTTCTCTGGAAAGCAGTATGGAAAGATATTAGTCACTGCCAGTAGCCACTGATGGGGACTGTCACAGAGGCTGCAGGGAGGCACTCCGGCAGAGCGGGCCTGCAGGGAGGACACCCAGGACACAGGGCTGACACTGCGTCACCTTGGAATCTCAGGGAGTCCTTCAGAGAACGTGTGGCTCCAAATCTTCTCAAGCTGGGTCTGAACTCTCCAGAACTCACCGGGTCTCTGGCCTGTCTCAGTCTGCACGGTGAACCCTCTCAACCGTGGCTTCTCTGTATAAAGCCACTGGCTGCGTGGGCCACAGTGTAGACAGGGTCTGTGCACGCAACGTAGGCCAGGTGTGAAGAGATTCAGGGGCGTTTTAAAGCTCCATTTTCTGGCGGTGGTTTTGCAGTTGGAATATAAAATGCTGGTGCTCTGTCCTGAATGGCTTTGTGAATCACGAGTAAATTCTTTAAAGTATCATAATCATAATACTAATAAGGCAAAGCACGTTTTTCTGGGCTTTAAATCATTCCACCCTACCAGCTGCTGCCACTCTGACCCCGCCCCCCCCCTGTGATGGGCAGGTCTGGGTGGGACCAGACAATGACCAGGTTCCCAGGTGGTCATTGATGCTGCTGGTCCTGGGACATACTTTGAGGAAGGAGAAAAAAAAAATCTGCTTTGAGAACAGCAATCTTCTTTTTTAAAAAAAAGAGCGAATTCACAATAATTAAATGCAAGAAAAAGATCTTTTCATTAGGTATTTCCTTGCGGTACGTTTAGACTACAGCATGTCCTTAACTAATGTCGTTTGGTTCCATGTCATTTTGTCAGTGATCAGAAAGAACAATCCTCGAGGAACAAAAGGGCTGTTGTGGGTTTGGGGCCACACCCAGAAGTGCTCAGGGGTGTGGGGTCTTTTCTGCAGTGCTCAGGGGGTAGGCAAAGCCCCCAGTCTCTGTACTTTCTGAAATCTTGGAGAAAATCTTCTGAGCCTGGGAACCTGTGTCTTTCCTGGGAAAGAATTCACAGCCTGGAATAGAAAGCAGCCCGTGGCTTCTAGCCGAGATGGTTCTCGAGTTAAGATAACCAACTATCTTCATTTCCTGGGGTTCTCGGGAATCGAATCTCTGAGAAAACAGGAACAGTCCCACGTGAACAGGACAAGCTGGCCCTTGACCCCCAGGCAGTCAATCCGTCTCAGAACTGAGAGTTCCTTGCTTCAGTAAACTGTGCTTGACCTGCTCGGTTTCTCAAGACGAGAAAAGACATTTAACAACCCCAGGGGTGGGGTAGGGAGGGGGGCTCCTTCCTGGCTTCTGGAGGTCAGTGCTGCCCCTGTGGGAGCCCAGGCCAGAGACTGGGCACACCCGCCCGGGGAGACTGGACCCTTGACCTGGGTTATGAAGTCCCAGTCGTATCTCCTGTCCTTGGTGACGAAACACAGAAGGTTGGGCAGGGAGCTTGCTACTGAGCGTGACTAAGAACGCGGGATTCCCAGCTGAGGCTCCTCTAAGCTTCCGCCTGCCTCCTTTGATACGTGCTCTAACTAAGTACCTAAGTATTTTATGGTGTCTCTTTGCAGAAAATTTCATGTATTAATTCGCCAGAGGCCACACCTGGCTGTGCTCAGGGCTTATTGCTGGCTCTGCCCTCAGGGATCACACCTGAAGGGCTCAGGATCAGGGATCAAATCCCGGCCAGCCCTGTGCTAAGGCAAGTAACCTGCTCACTGGACTCTCTCTCTGGCTTCCAGAAACTTTTGACTTTTTAACATCAGGTCCATCTGTATTTTTAAAATCTTTTATTCTGGATTCTGAATTTTTTATTATGTTCAGAAAATCGTTTTCTTGAAGACGCAAACAACATTCTGCTCTTCTTATTCCCCCCAGAGCTGTCATAGTTAATCTGTATTACATGAACATTTTGTGTTCCAATAAAACATTTTTATAAACACCAACACTTTGAATTTTATCTAATTTGCAAGGGTTATAAAATATTCTTATTTAGGCTTTTTTCCCTCCAACTTCTGGTTTTTGTTTTTTTTGGTTTGGGGGACCACTTTTGGTGAAAGGAGTTTTGGTCCCTTTGGAGTATGGAAAATCATGAGCTATTTCCCTGACCCCTCCCAACCAACTATTTAATTAATTATTTTGTTGTTGTTGTTGTTGTTGTTGTTGTTAACACCTGGCAGTGCTCAAAGTTTACTCCTGGATCTGTACTCAGGAATCACTTGTGGTGAGCTCAGGGGACCATAAGTAAGGCTGGGCATCAAAACTCAGTTGGCCTCATGCCTGACAACAGCCTACCTG